CTGAGGCTGGCCCTTGAGATGCAGGTGGCCGCAATACACGTCCTCACCGACTCGCAGCTCGTGGCCGAACAGCTCAGCGGAGGATACGAAGCTCGGGACGCAACCATGGCAAAATACCTGGCACGGGTAAAAGACCTAACCGCCAAGTTCACTTACTTTACGTTATCTAACGTTTCGAGGGAGGAGAACGCGCGAGCCGACGCGCTAGCTAAGCTCGCGTCAAAGCCGACCTCCGAAGCGTGGCCAGAGGTTGAGGAGCTCCCTGCTCGCGCCATTGAAGTGGCGGTCGCCGCCCCAGGCAGTGCGCCGATCACATGGGTACAGGAGCTGCTACGCTTCAAGAAGGATGGCACCATTCCCCTCGACGAGGTAGCGGCTCGGCGCCTGCGCCGTACACATGCGTGGTACACCGAGGAGAGCGGGCGGCTTTACAGACGGTCCTTCACCTACCCAGCTCCTGCGGTGCTTGGAGCCTGACGAAGCACAGACGGTCCTGGCCGAAACCCACGAAGGGGTTTGCGGCGAACACATTGGCGGACGGACCTTGGCACACAAAATACTCCGCCAAGGCTACTACTGGCCAACCATGTGCCGGGACGCGAAGGCTTACGTACAGCGGTGCGATTCATGCCAACGACACGCCCGCGCACCGCGGCAGCCTACGGTCCCGCTCAGCCCCATCGATTGTGCGTGGCCATTCGCGCAGTGGGGCTTGGACCTACTCGGACCCTTCCCGCCGGCTTCAGGACAGCGGAAGTACATAATCGTAGGAGTGGACTACTTCACAAAGTGGGTCGAGGCCGAGCCACTAGCGACAATCACGGAACATCAGGTGGAGAAGTTCGTGTGGAAAAACCTCGTGACTCGGTTCGGGTTACCCAATGCCATTATCACGGACAACGGACCCCAATTCTCTGGCCGAAGATTCCGGGAGTTCTGTGCAGGTCATGGCATCCAACTAAGGTTCAGCTCGGTGGCCCACCCTCAGACGAACGGGCTCGCGGAGGTAACCAACCGATCCATCCTGGACGAACTCAAAAGAAGGGTGTCCACAGCCCGATCGGTCTGGGCGGACGAGCTCCCCAGCGTACTCTGGTCGCTGCGCACCACTCCCAAGGCCGCGACCGGAGAGTCCCCGTACAGTCTGACGTTCGGGACCAAGGCTATCTTACCACCCGAAATGGCTGTCGCCACCCTTCGGACAAGGAGCTACGACGAGGAAGTCTCGAACGAGGGACTCCATGCCAGCCTCGACGTGCTCGAAGAGCGACGCGCCGATGCGCACCTAAAAGCCCTCTCTTACCAGAGAGCCGTCGCGAGGGTCTACAACAAGAAGGTACGCCCCCGACCGATCAAGCTAGGCGACCTAGTCCTGCGAAAAGCCAAGGTCAGTGACCCGGCCCGAGTGAGGGGGAAGGTAGCCCCCAAATAGGAAGGACCTTATCGGGTCGCCAAAACGGTCCGACCGGGCACATACCGGCTCACGACAATGAACGGCTCTCCCTTACCGAGAACCTGGAACATCTGGAACCTCAAGAAGTTCTTCATCTGAAGTGAAGAAACCTTTCTCGAAGGAAGCGTTTCGCCCGAAAGAGAAGAAGGCAGTGGTCGGGAAAAGCAAAAAGCTTCCTGCAGCACAGAAAGCAGGCCCACTTACAAGGCTCGACTTGCAAATAATCAAGAAGCTTTTTTCGTGCAAAGAAGAACTTTTTCAAAGGAAGGAACCTTTTTAGAAGAAGAAGGAGACAAAACGAAAGGGATCTTTCCTTTTATTGAAGAAAGCAAGACAACTTACAGGACCCGACTTACAAAAACAGACCAGCAAAAACAAAAAACAAGGACCCCTTTTCCCCACCAGGAGGCTCAAGGCTCCTCCAGGCGGTTAATCGAAGGGGACTTCCTCGAGCATATCCACCCCTTGGTCCTCGGGATGACGAGCGAAGGGATTCTCCTCCACCTCGAGACCAGGGTGGCGAGCGCGGAAGCGGGTAGTGGCGATTCGGTATCCATACTCAAAGGATACCCGTCCCGTCCGCGTCAACCCGAGCTCGAACCCCTCCGACCTCTTATACGCCTCGAGGAGCTCCTTGTCTTTTGCGGGGCGAAGTCGGGACTCCTCCGCCAACGCCTCCGAGGCCACCCTGGCTTTAGCTTTTGCCTCCTCCAGCTCTTTACCAAGGGTGCTCACCTCGGCCTTCAACAAACGGAGCTCGGTCCGCTCCACCCTCATCGCCTTTTGAAGCCCCTCGTTCGCCCTTTTGGAGGCCTCGAGCTCCGACCGAAGGCGCATGACCTCCGCCTCAAAATCTGCCGCCCGCTGCTCGGCAGCAGCCACGGCCTCCGGACCAGCTCCGGCCCGGACCTCCTCAACCTGGCGGTGGAGCTCGGCGTTGCGGTTGATAAGGCCCCCGATGACGCGGCCGCCGTCACGCACCCTGTCCAT